TTTTTAATATGCATACATTCGGTGTCTCCTCCGTGCTGCGTGCCGCTTCAACTCCCCTTCTCCTACCCGCGACAACAGAGTGACTCCAGATGGGGATGTATCCTATCTTACCCTCACTCCGCGCAAAGCAACTCGGGATAGTATCAAATCCCTCGTCACTTTGCTCTCTGCTCGGTTAAGATATGGGCGTTGTATTGGGGCCTTCCTTTCCCCTTTACCTGCCCCAACACTACCCTATACCCCCGTCTTCTGCACTAACCTCCAATACTTACAGCATTTCCCACTCCCAATCCTTCTGCACTCACTCCATATCTTACCATTCCTGATCTTACCCCACTGTCTAGGGAAATACCCCCTAATAGCGAGTCTCGTTATGTCATCTGCTTTAATAGGATCTAGATAAATGTAATTCAGACAACAAAACTTTCAGAACATTCCTTGCTTTAATTGTTTCACTCAAATATATCCAGTGATATTTTACCCCCCTTGGTTTTCCTCACCTCTCGCTTATCAATCCTATATACAGTATCGTTCCACTTTGGTTTTTTCTCCCCTCCTGTTCTCTACATGATCTTGTTCTGACAAACTTTGACTCCCACTCTGGTACTAAACGCGCTACGGGAGGGTAGGTGCTCTCAGTCCTAGCGTTCAGTTCTTGTTTGCCCAGTCCTTGGCCTAGCACCAGTGTAACTGATTTTGGGATTCGAGTCCATATGTCATAACTCGCTCTTTTCTACTCCTCCCCTGAGTTCGGTTCATAACCCACTCTTCCGTTTCCGTCGACATATCCGTTACCTTATAATCCTTGGCTACTAAGTACCCTAAATGTTTGAGTTGGGCAACAATTTGCGCCTGGACAGGTGTATTTCTGTCTTTTTATTTAGAATACCGGTTTCAAATCCCTGCTGTTGTTGCGTTGATATGACATTGCTGCGTCTGCTGACCGTCCCTCTTGGTCTTCCCCTTTGGATCTCCTCGCCACTTGATCCCGCAGGATGGCAGCGGGGGATCCCTCGTGGCACACTTTCTTGAGCTGCATGTATCGTTGGGCCGTCGCTTTATCTTTCCATCCCACGTGCGCCATGAGGGAGGCTTGGTCCGCCCCTCCCATTGCCATGGTGATTGCACTGGCCGTGCGTAAACCGTGGAGCGTGTCGCCATCGTACTGGTCGATCTCCCTTAGGTATGACTTGAAGCGATACTGCGCTGCATCGTACGAGAAAGGCTCGTTGATTACTTCTTTTGTCTTGTTTATCGCTCTGAAGAGGTACCCTTTGCTGATGTTAATGTGCAACGCCTTGGCCATTGTTATGTATGCTTGAAGACCTCGTACTGGGCAAATCGCTGTGTTCTCACTTACGAGGACCGGGAACGTGTTTGCTGCTCCGTCTCGCAAAGTTTTGCCGAATGTGTGGTTGAAGAGGAAACCTCTGTTGTCTGGTAACCACGCCAGCTCCTCCGCCTTACACCTTCCCAGGTCTGCTGCCCTATCTGCTGCAAAGAACAGCGTTTTAAAGAAAGCCTGGTCCCGGGCCAAGGCGAAAAGGGTGCTCTCCTTCACTCCGGGATCTCTCATTTTCGCTGCTATATGTTTGCATACCGCCTCCAACTTGTAGTGGAAAACTGGTTGTGCTTGCTTGGGTTGGATCAGGGCGTTAGCCTGCTCCGCTTTTGTTACCCTGAGGTACTCACGTACCCTGGGTGCCGCCGCCGGGTTTCCCGTGCATATGGCTTCATTCCAGTCGCCTCCCCGCCCTGATTTGTCAAAGATGGATCGCAGCTGTCCGATGACTGAGTCCACTGTCCCCGCTGCCAACCGCTGTGGGCAGCCGCACTCCGCCAGACGTTTTTTCCCAAAGTTTTTGCAGTTTTTGTGGTGGACCACTGTTTTCCCCCCCTTGTCTTTCCATACCAGGAAAGAGCATATGTCCTTAGGGGAGGCTGTAGTGAGGTCCTTCGGGGGCGAGATGTTACCCAAAAAATCCGTTAGTTCGTTCTCCAGTGCGACTTTCTTTTTGCCGTAATCCGTGTTCACGGCTAACTTGTGGATCTCGTCCAGACGCGCTTGTATTTTTTCCTCGTCCACATTGATGTTTTTTCGTGGCGGGGGAAAAGGTTTTCTCACATAGCCACACATTTGGCATCTCCTGAAGTTGTGGTCGTTTGGGTGGTGGCACTCCGGACAAGCTACTGATGGCGTCCACTGGCGTGGGATGAGGGGCAGCGGCTGTAACAGAGCACACGGGGAGGATGGTTTTAAAACAGGCTATCTGGCGTGTTTGTTGCTACACTATCGCATGCAGGGTCCTGGTTCCTTACCCATGTTCTATCCTGAAAACCCACAGTTCGTGTTGGAATATCTTTCCCACTCTGAGGCCCTGCTTTGACGGAAATAGCAAGGCCGACCTACTTCCCGCCTCTGCTATCTTGATGGATGTCTTTGCTGCACCTGCTAAGATTGGCCACCACAGGGGTCTTGGGCAGAGCTTGGGTACAACCACAGTCACTGTGGCTTTGTATTGGAGCAGAAACTGAATGACTGCCCCTGTCATGTTGATTGGGGGGAAAACATACGCGTTCTCCCTCTTTCCCTCAGGGGAAAGTGTGGGGTTGTGTCTAAACATGTCAACTCCCGCTGACTGCGGTGTCGGGTATGGCGTGTAGTGGCGCAGAGGGGTTCCCGATCTGTCCCGCTGGGCGTTAGAGTCCAGGGCCATGAGGTCCACCGAGTGTCCCTCTTTTCCTCCAAATTCTACCTGTAGTTGCTGCCACAGGTGGGGGGCTAACATACAGTCTGTTTTCGACATTACTCTTGATGGGTGATCCGCTTCGTTGTCTTTCGTGCTTATGTGAGACAAGGATAGTGCTATATTCAAAGCTACTGAGGTTTCAAATATGTTTTTAATCTCTTCGTTTAAGGGTAGAGATCTGGCACCGTCGCCTTTCCACGCGTCTACTACCGCTTTGTTGTCGACTTTTAGCTGAACTCTCGAGTTTTCTATCCACTTCTTCGCGGACAAAAGGGTGAGGGCTACTGCTTTGGCCTCTTTACAGTTGATGTCTTTGGTTATGTCCTGGTCTGACCAGTAGTCGCCCAGTTGAATGTCCGAGCCTCCGTTTTCCGTGCTGTGGAGTACCGCGCCCCACTTGTATCCTGACGCGTCGGAAGCTATTGTGATCGACGTGTGCCTTTCATCTCTCCATGTGACTGGTTTCATGTCTTTGTCCACAAAACGCCAGTGTTCAATCTCAGCGCGAACGCTTTTCGGTAGCTTTGCCTTGAGCTGGCCTTTTTTGGTCATTTCTCCCATCAACTTGCTACACCGTCTTGTGTAGATCTGGGCTCCTGGTACCATCAGTGCCATGGAGACGCATTTTCCGACGAATTTTTGCAGGGTGCGAAGTGTTATAACTGGGTCGTCTAAGATTTCCTCCCGCAGTACTGCGAACTTGTGGCGTTTATCGTCCGGGAAGAAAAAGAAACCTTCTTTTGAGTTGAGGCCTGCCCCTAGATGTACCAAGATCTGCGTTGGGGCGATAATACACTTATTCAAACTGAGGAAATATCCTGCTCTTGTGAGGAGTTCACACATGACATAACTCGCTACCTGCGCCTGTGTGTATGGGTCTGGGGTCTGCTCCGGGAGCGGACGGGGGGTTGTGGGGGTGGTCGCTTCGCCATTTAAGCGGTCGTCGATGTAAAGCATAGTTGGGATCCCTAAGTGTCTGGCGTATGAAGAGACTACACTACCCGTTGTGTTATAGATAAAAGCACTGGCGGACCATCCGAACGGCAGGGTGCGGTACACGAAATAGAATCCCTCAAATTGAAAACCAAAGTACGTGCAACTTTCCTCCGTCAAGCAGATGTGAGAGTACCCGCTTTTTTCGTCTGTGTGCGTCATGTAGCCGCCCTTGTGAAGTATTCTGGGCGCCTCTGTGATAGAGTCTAAGCTGAAAGGGCACTTCTTGGTCCAGTTGTTCAGGAAACGCCCGTCCCAGCACATTCTGGGCTTTGAGGGCTCTACTGTAAGGGGTAAGACCAAATGCGGTGGTTTGCAATGTCCTACTTTTCCCCATACTTTTATAGATCCGTCCTCTAGTCTGTCTCTAATTTGGGCGGCTAGGAAGTCGTGGTGTTCTGCGCAATTCTGGGCATTGGGCAGGATGATGGGTGGAGGCGTGGCTGAGTGGTAATGATCCCCTCGGAAAGGGCCGTCGAAAGGGGCGAGGAAATCGTTTATGTCCACCTTGTTTTTTATCCATCCTAATACTACCTCCCCTTTGTCAGAGAACACTGCCATTCGTTCCCATGTCTCTAAGTTATTGTGGAGTGAGCCCGCCACGAACTTCTGTGGGTTTCGAAAGGGTAGTGAGGTTGGATCTGCGTTCGCTCCGGTGGATATCACTTCTTCTGCTGAAGTTACCTCTGGAACGGGTTCTGGCCAAGGTCGTTCATCATACGTTACCCACGTGGTATCCTCCCACGAGCGTACGACCGCCCGGAAAGGGTCAAAAGAGGGGTTGATCTGAGGGGGGGGGAAGAAACAAAAGGCGTGTTTTTGTCTTGTGTGTCTTATATATTGACCATTGTTGGTACGACAGAGCGAAATGATGGGAAGAAAACCTTCTACCAGGTGGAAGAACTCATGTAAACAAGTGTCGCCCACAAAAGACAAGTGATCAAAACTGGATTCGTGTGAAAAGACCATCGGAGGAGGGTGTGACAAATATTCCGAGGGTGTGAATAAACCAATGTGCATGCCGTGTGTATTCAAAACAACACGTAGTAGGCAGTATGTAGACAAACGCCTGTTTCTTCGTAGGGAGAGTGACATTAATGTTGGTCGAAGTAGGCCTTTAAAAGGGGGGGCGTCTAAACATTTTTCTGGTGACACGGGTAACGCACTCGGTTACCAGTAGACTTGTAGTTTGTGTACTTCCCTGTTTAAGAACGTGTGCATCTTATCCTCTAGATTAATCAACCCGTGTGTTTACAGTTGCTTGCGTGTGGTAAAGTTCAAGTATCAAATGCTACGTAGAGAAACACACTGCCATTATCAGGTTCGATCATGCTTTATTCATAAAACCTTTTTCGTCACTACAGCTACAGGTCAGGGTTAGGTTTTTCTGTATTCCTCTGTCTTGACTATTCTACCAGCCGTTCTACGTGATAAGGTCAAAGGATGCCATTCTGAGTATACACTTGTGTTCTGCGGAGAGTAAACCTGGTAGGTTTGTTTTTTGGGAAAACCGTAAGTGTTCACGTTAGTCTTACCATAGTAATTTCACCACAGGTAACTGTGGGTATGACATGGAATGCTGTACTGCTCTTAGTCGTCTAAATCTCCGAGAGCATGTCTAGGAGTTTGAAAATGTGCGTCTCTGGTTTAACGAGGAAGGCAATCTCATCCTTTACCGATGGAGACTACAGTTCTGAGGACTATAAACAAAAAAGGGGAACTGGGTAAAAGTAATGTCAATACAAATCGCCTTGCCGCTTGAGGGTTGTGTGCGGCCTTGAGTTAGTCGGTCGTGACAGGTAGATGACACGCCGATTGCCTCTCCGAATGTGTAAACAGAAAATAGACTTTAGTATAGTATCTCAACTTGCTAATCACTACACACTACATAACAAGGCTAACAAACGTTTGTGCTCAGTTCGTTCCGTCGTTTCTTGTCTTAACACCACATTGTACGAGGGGCGTCACTTGTCTTTGCGGGGCGGGGCAAAGCAGTCCGCCTGGAAGTGGCCCGTCTTCCCACAGTTGAAACACCGGGTGTGGGCTCCTGCCCTGCGCGTGGGAGGCTGCCGGGATGCCCTCCATCCTCCTCGAGCTCTGCTCTGGTTCCACGGTTGGTGGTGCTGGGGCGGTCCCATGGGTGGGTTCCAGGCGTTAGGTGGAGCTCGGGTGTTTCGCCCGTGTGGGTGGCCTTCCAGTGCCGCCGCCGCCTTGTTGGCTTCTTCCATAAAGCGCTTCTCCATCGGCGTCATGATCATGCGGCGAATCTCCTCTCCGATTCCCTCTTTAGATGAATGCTGCAGGCAGAAGTCTGCGATAGACTGGTAGCGTGCTATCATCGCGGGTTTTGCTTTGGTCTTGCGTGCCACCCCGACGAGTGTCAGTAGCGCCCCGTGCAGTTTCTGCGGGTACCGATGGATCAGCGGATCCAGGCCGATCTCTTTTATGTTGATGATTTCCTTCTGGATCGCATCATCCTAAAGAAAAAACCACAAAAACACTTGGTGTCACTCTTTTGTTTCTGTATCGAAGAGGTTGAGGACTCGTATTCAACCTCCACATCCTTATCAAAAACATCTCGTCAGTGGAAAACAAAAGAGGGGTGACCTCGTGGGGTCATATCATGAGATGGGTGGTGCGTTGTTAAATCGGTGATAGCCCTGATCAAATCAAAATGTCAACGGGGGGTGAAGAGTGAAACTGATAACGGGTAGGGGTGTATCTCCTACACCCGCTGTGACAAATCGTTCAAACGGATTCCTGGCTTATCAGATGGGGGGTGTCATTCTGGTCTTGATTAAGCGGTCGGTGGGAAAAATTTTGGTTACCATCTGTGGTACCTGATGGCTAGAGCAAAATTCATGAAGTGTTGTGAAAAAACGGGCTTTCAGGGTTTCAGTGTTTTTCGTATCTGTAATGTTTAGGTTTGCTTTCTTGTTGTGAGCCAAAGATAAAGGCCGAAAATACTCACTCCCATTCAACCGTACTCAGAAATCGGCACAAGTTAAACGAGAGGTGAGGAAAACCAGACGTGGGGTAAAACGAAAATGAGCGTTTTGTTTTTTTTTTTTTTTTTTTTGAAATTGCGAACAGTGGGGGTCAAAAAGACACACAGGATGTATAATATTGGTCCTTCGAAAGCTCGACTGGTCAGGAGTGGGAGACCACACCAAACGGGGACGGGAGAAAAACTGGGACCTGGATCACTGTCGGCCTGCCTGCCTATTCTCAACTGTCTTGTCCCAGTCTCCTAGCCTGTCTTTATTCTTCTCTTATTTCCTGCTTATTCATGACCTGTGCTTAGCTTGCCAGCGTCCCAAATGCAATGTATAATAGAATTCTTCCATTCATTCATGTATTCACCTCCTCCAAACAACATAACACTCGAGTGCGAAAAATTCCTGTCTAGATGGGGGCGTCAAGGGGTTATCACCCCCACTCCTGTCATAAAACAAAAATTCTGTTTTTGTTCCTACACGTCACAGAGATCTTGAAAGCGGACCGCCTGTTGTATTACAGTGGATCCTATTAGCCTGATAGTTCTGTGCACATTGCTAGCTCGGAGTGGGTACACATTCTCCAAAATTCATTGTGATACTTCTGTAACCTTCCTGTTCATTGCGGCTAGTGTATGAAAACGTTTTCCTGCTCATCAGGTATCAAATCGAAGGAAACGGTTTTGTTGTGATGGGGGATATTCAACTCGTTCCTTACCGTCCAAAACATTTCGAAGTTAAAAACTTTCCGAACAGCCCGGGGAGCATCTATCCTTGCTCTTCCCTTTCCGGTTTCAGACAACCGAAAAAACGTTCCAAAACAGTCCGGGGAGCATCTATACTTGCTCCTACCCGTCAGGTTTCACAAAGTCAGATTTTCTGAACAGTACGAGGAGCATCTATGCTAGCTCTTACTCGTCCGTTTTCAAACAACAAACTTTCTAACGGTCCGGGGAGCATCTATATTTGCTCTTACCCGTCCGATTTCATCTAGGAAAAAATCGAAAAAACAGCCTGGGGAGCATTTCAATTTGCTCGTACCCGTCTGCTGTCAAAACATCAAACAAACTTTTATGAACCTTCCGGGGAGCACCTAGAACTTGCTCGTACCCTACAGATTTCAAACAAATACCAATCTTCGGACATAACACGCATGAGGCAAACAAAACCAAAGTCAGACTCGTATACAAACTCTACCCAACTCGGTAACCAAATACGTTTTCCTCGGCTGAGACCAAAACTCATACCAACAGATGTCTCGAAAAATACTGACCTCCAGTGTATCGTCATCGCTGTCGGACTCGTCCTCTGGAGGGGGGGGCTGTTTGTCGGTTTTCTTCGCCTTCTTGGCCGGCGGTGGTTTCGGCGAGGCGGGCTCCGACGACGTGCTCGCCGCCGGGGAGGGGTTCTTGGTGGCCGGGTCGTCCTTCCCTTCCAGGAGGTTGGCCACCGAAAGCGCCGCGGACTTCCCTCCCGAGGAGGTGCTGAGCTTCTGGGATGTTGCTGCCGAGGCGTTGGCTGCCAGAATCAAGAAATGGGCCAACCTGATAGCTGTGGCCTGGGATTTGGGGTCCCGGCCGGTCATGCTGTAGAGCAGGTCGGGCTCCTCGCCGGTCAGTTTCTTGATGTGTCCCGCCAGTTCGTCGCCGCTGTGGTCCTGTAGGGGGACGTCTGCTAAGAAACGCGCCCGCAAAGGCTCGTCGGGCGTCTCGGTGTCGCTCCGTACTTTTTTCCAGACGTCCATCAGATTGGCGCCCACGAGAGTGACGTCTCCGCGAAGGACTGGCACCGGAGCTGCCATGGTGAAGGTCCGTGTGGTCCGGGTCGCGACAACAGAGTGACTCCAGATGGGGATGTATCCTATCTTACCCTCACTCCGCGCAAAGCAACTCGGGATAGCCTGCCTGACAGCTTGCCAGTGGGGATGGTCACACCAAATTAATCCTGTGCTCTTTGAAAACATATGTGCCTTCTAGGAGGTGAAACATAATCTGTTTTCTTTGAGCTGAAACACAGCATCATACATATCTCCAAGTTTGGCTTGTTTTGACCAAGCTACAGGAGTCTTTTCTTTTCTTTGAATGTCTTTTAACCACTAAATCAAAAGGTCCAGGACCTGTTGGCCTGGGCTGATAGTGACTGCATTTGTATACATACAGAGCCTCCTACATGTGCTATGGGGAGTTGCAAAGGATGGTCTGATCTATCATGTGACCATGTATGGGAACATTCTGCTCCCCCCAGAGGTCATGTGACCTATGGGGGGAGCAGAAGGATGCTCTAAGCTGTCTTGGTCCTACATTGTGTTCTCTCTCTCCACTTCTTGTTAGACATTTGCTACCAGGCACCACATTTTTTTTACCAAATGTCTTGAAATTTTAACAGAGCTTGGGAATATACTTCCACATGTATTCTTGGTTTAATTTTTTGGATGCAGGCCCTAAAATAATTCAATGTAGCTTTTTTGTAAAAAAAATAGTCCCAAAAAGTATATTGTAAGTAAACTTATTTGCTCCTGTGTCTTCATATTAGGTCAAATAAAGGACCTAAAATTTGGTATGAGGATAGTGGTTCATGTACGGTGTTTGTGGTTGAAGTATAATGACAAGAAGTCCTAAATGCAACTTCATGTATGTTCTTTTAGGTTGGAATTGCAACAGAATTTCTGAAAATATACCCTGTGTAAAAGGGGGACAAACTTCAGACTGTTTCAGGCCAGGCAGGTTATAGACTGAATTAGGTCAGTCAGGCCTGCTCAGAGGCGGTGGGACGTCAGTTGCTGACACAGGATGTTCTAAATGGTTGAGGATTGTGCTTACTTGAGCCTGGTGCTAATGTAAGGGTCAACCATAACCGAAGACTGTGACAGAGGGCATTAATGCAGGGGAAAGGCAAACTAATTGGTTCAAGGCACTGCAAAGTTGACAGTGGAGGGAGGTGCCTTGGACAGTCATAATCTACTGTGAAATTAGGCACTATACTGGCTGTAATGCAGGATGAATGTTTCAGGGGGTAATGCTGCATAGCAGACCACTTTGGCAAGGGCATAGCCGGCTACGCTTAGCGTTCCATTACAAATTCTGTCATCGAGGTGCGTCTCTGATATAGCTAAAATGTGCAGATTGTTAGAGCATAATAAGTCTGTAATTTCATGCACTTTATTCCTTAGACTATTTATGTTAATATGGCCAACGTGAAGTCCTTTACTACTAAGACCTAGATCTATCGGGCCAGGGTTGGAGTGAATATCACCTGACAGCAGCAGAACTATCGTAGCCAGCAGTGTTGATACGTCGGTTGAGGTGCGATTCTGTGTACGTTGCGTCGATCGACCTCCATTCAGGGTGATGTTGCTTATCGCATGCATACCAGCTGAGCCGAGCGCCGGGGGATGGTCAGGTGCGGACTGCCAGCTGCAGGTAATCAGGGCGAGCCTATCTTCCGCTTGCGAAGGTAGCCGATGATGGCGCGACTTTGGAAGTACAGCTATAACTACCACTGCCACTAGCAGTGAATAACATCTAACAAGAGTAAACGCTGTTTTTGACGATACCATGGTGACTCCAGGAAGATTCATATAAGAATACTGCCCACTTTGCGTAAATTATAACAATGACTCAATTGATTGGTCGTTAACAATTTGGCGCCATTTTGGCTTATACGGAATCTTAAATTGTATCCTGTAATATCAGCTCTTCTAATTTACAGCTTACTTGTCCACAAAATTATCTACTACCTAAAGTAGTTGTCTGCTATCTACATGTAGCTACAACCCTCTAAATGTACAATCGGTAAGGGCTCTTGTTCAACACACAGACGCACGTCGGAAGACACCATCCATGCTTCTTCGCCACGACACAAGTAACAAGGGTTTTTTCTGGCTTATTTTTGCCTTTGATTAGCAGTTTGAGAAAGGATAAGGTGATTGATGAAAACAGTATGCTTTGGCCAACATATAAAACGTAAAACGAAAGTCAAAACTGAAATAATACTTGCGTTGGGGAAAAAAATTGACGGAGTCGAAGCGAAGGGTGTCTCACCGTCACGGGTGACCTCTGACCTCTGTGTCGATGTCGATGTCGGCCCCCGTCGCGGTTCAATGAAGGGTGATGGGCCCTGATGTATATGGCTTCCTTCACCCCTCTCAAGAAATAGTCTTGTTCAGTGTCTAAAATCCTTACAGTGTCAAGTGAAACAAAATGTCCGGGTGACTCTATGTGGATGTGTTGAGACACCTCTGAACTGGCAGAACTGCATGTAGGCTGTGTATGTTTTTGAAACCTGGCTTTTAGAGACCTCTCTGTTTCCCTCTCTGGTCGGAAGCTCTAGGTGAGAGACTTTTTCATGGACAAAAAGTTTTAACTTTAAAGGTAACCTCTTATTATGTCTTGTACTTCTTACTACTAAATTGTTTTAACAATTAAATTCAAACACCATTAAAACCCTTTTCCCTTCTGCCATAACATGAAACCACTGCAAAAGTAAATGCATTAATACATTTACAAAATGTAGTACTTTTAAGTACTAAATGTATTAATGTATTAGTCTAATATATTAAACTGATTGTATTATGTATTAATCTAATGTAAAATACATGAGACTGACATCCTTGTTTGTTATGCTCATACTATTTTCTTTTGTTATGTTTATGGTAATTTGTCTACATTATAATTCTCATTTTACTACAAGCTCATTTTACTACTCATTATATGCAAAATGAAACAAACAAACATACAATTAGAAAGGTAACATTTTCAAAGCAATTGCATAATTTTTACCTTCGCATATGGTCTGCTTTGTTAATTCTTACTTAAACATGTTCACATATATGGTGATAGGAGTCTAAATCACTCCTACTATAAAATTGCAACATTATCTAACTAAAAACCAGTTACCATGGTGAGAGACAGTCATTGACCAGGTCAGAGGAAAGTGTTTGGAATGGAAGAAAAAGAAGAAGAAACGTAACAAAAACAATATGTTTTTCTTTAGTAAGCATGATAGTCAAGTCAAAGTTTATTGCGCAACGATTGTCATGGGTACAATGTGTGGCAAATAATAAAATTGCTAGTTGGTATGTGTCTAACATAATGCTATATATATGGTCAACGGACATTGTATCTGACAGAGTATTATAAAGAACTACTGGCTAGAGAATATTTCGACTCTACATGTACATTAACTTACTACATTAACTAACATAAACTATACACATGAAGGGTACAGTGAGCAGTTGTACCTAATTATACTAAACAGCATAATAAACCCCTCCCAAACTCCGCAGTGCTAACGGAGCCAGCAGCAGTGTGCTGACATCCCTACAGGAAGGACTGATGTTACCATGTGACTCACCTGTACCTGACAGAGAGTTAACTATGCTGTCAGGGAGAGGGACTACTGGTCCACCTGTACACACACAAGAAAGAACAGTCAGAGGTGAGATGTAGCTTTTTTTATGGGAGGTAATTTTGTAACCAGCCATCAGGTGTTATGCATTCTGGGACTGTTAAGGGGGCACACCCCAGTTTATTTGGCATTTCTATTCGAAGCTGCACACCCTCAAATCTAGCAACCGTCTCTGCCGTGGAATAATTCGGAAGGAGAATAACAGTTACTGTATATGGGACGAAAGCATAATTAGCTATAAGACCAGCTGAGTTTGGTTCCTTCAACCTTTTTAAGTTTGGTAAAATCAACGGAAAAAACATTATTTTCACTCCAAAATTAATTGCCAAAATTGCGTATTTTCACATACTTTAGGATAATCCCATAGAAAAAAATGGGACCACTCGCTGTCTGTACACGTCACTGGTTTAATCCGAAGGCATGATGCTGCTGCTGATGATGATGATACAACAGATGACATGATAAAAAAACACACACTTAGCACAAAAAAAACTTAACATTGTGTACAGATTTTAACTACACATAAAGTGCCAAACTGATCCTGTTGTCCCATTAGGACGTGGTTCCCACCGCGTACACCGGCGCTGGAGAAGAGGCGGTCGGGGACGGGGCAGTCGTGGCGGTCTCGGTCGCGGCGGGTTCCACCATCAGCGCCGGTCCATCATTTCCATCACGCCTCACGGGAACCGCTGGCGACAGCGCGGGGTCGCGACCCGCGGGACACGCCACCAGCCAATCAGCCGCGAGATCCGGAACCTGGCGGGGTGGGGCAGCTTCCACCAGCTGGAACTGGACGACAAACAAGAGGAGACCGAGGTGGAGGATAACGTATCCGTGGCGTCCAACCCTCCACCCGACAAACGCTCGTGCCGCTGCGGTACGTTCTGCGAGCCAAGCGAGCTGACGTGTCACAGACAGCGCTGTCCCTGCTACTCAAACCAGCTGTCCTGCGCTGGCTGTCGCTGTCGCGGCTGTAAAAATCCCTACAAAGACGACAGCGTCAAGAAACAGGACAAAGGGACAGAGTAACTGGTCGTGTTCTAAATATCAGCCTGTTGTCCAGTCTACCACAGCTTGGGTGGGCTCTCTTTGGCAGTGTAGTTTACTGCCACCCAGCTCAAATAGGCTCCTGGTAGGAGTTTTGCACAATCAGAGTTTATTAGCCTGCCTGCATTTCACATTTGGATTTGATTTGTTGAAATTGTAACAGTACAATACATGTAGGACAGAGGCAGCTGTTGCTGGTGTTGTGCTCCACGCATAGAAACAAATACAGGACAGGACAATACTCACTTTCACTTGAGTAAAGAAAGTCGTGACTGTAAACTACCTTTCCCAATGAAGGGTACAAGATTGGTGGCATGTCAGGACTCGAACCCGGGACCTCTTGGTTCTGAGTCGAGCACTCTGCCATTGCGTCACTTGACCCCACATTCAACCAATAATTAGGTTCTGCCAACACTATTGGTTGGAACCTAGTAGGAATTGCACTTACAAGCTGAGCACCTGGAAACAGAGTTGTACCATGCCTTGCCATGCAAATAGCCATGCCTTCAAGTACCAGAGTTATCAACCAAGGATTGAGGCGTTCAAGAATTCATTCTTTCCTAGAACTATCGCAGCAGTGGAACTCACTGTCACCAAGTACAGTAGGGGCATTGTCAATAGATAGCTTTAAACAAGTGTAACAAGTCGATCGGTGTAATATAGCCAGCTGCCGCCGCGCCGCGTGCCTGTGAAGCTAATGTGTTATGCCCAAAGGCGGTTATACCGGCTATACAGATACAGAATATACTGTATCTGTGTTCTCAGTAAATGACGGGTGAGCTAATAAACTCCTGTCATGAAAAACTTAGCCTAGATGAGCTGAGCGACTGCGAACAACTACAGGCCTGAAGAGAGCCTGCCCAAACCATTGCAGACTGGACACAAGGCTATCTAAATATACAAGTTACTAAATGGATGTTTATATACTTTTGTACATTGTTTGGTTGATATTAGTGTTATAAAACTCATGAGTTGAAACAAACTCACACGAACAAAGAATTGAAATCATTGGAAACAGAGAAGATGATTTTTTTTCAAGTTCCATTGGACAAACCTGGGGTAAATCTTAGGTAAAACATGAGCTGTTAAACTTGGTTTCACTGGATATGTTGCATGTATTATTGTACATGTATAAGGTGCGAAGCTCAAAATCCCACCTGCATTTGCAGGTTAGTGAAGGTAAAATTGAAGCTGTGCAGGTATTTCTGATGTCTACCTGCACCTAACCTGCACTGGTCCTAAACGTACTGAATTTTTGATATACATGTACATGTCTACATTTAAGTGTATGTGACTTTGGGATATTTTTGGGGTATTCGTTAACTTAAAGTTCACAGAGCTCCAAGAAGTGTTTTTGGAACTGTAGAATTAATCAGGCATTACCGCGCAACTTCCTGAAGGTGCATGATGGGTCACATTTAGGTGACCTCCCTATCAATTAACTGTCTAAATCACTTCCCACCCACCATGAAACTGGAAAAAAATTAGGGGAGACAAACTCATAAATTCAGCCACCCAAAACAAAACATGTAACATTATTTGCATACCCAGAAATAATGATAAGTTAATGATAATGATGTACTTGTAAATGATTGGTGTTTATTGTGCCTATATGTGTGGATATGCATGTGCATGTAGCAGCGCAAGCTTGTGGGTTGTGATTAGGCCAAAGCAAGTAATTTTCATGGATTACATCATCAAGAAATTTTGTTGCCTTCTGACTGGTCAATATGCTGAAAATGGGCAAAGATGTCTGTTGCCATGCCGGAATGTGGATGGCAGATAAGTATGAAGAGAGGAGACAAGAAAAAGCTCAGATTTAATGTTTTGTTTCTTACTTTGATGCAGTGATCTGCGATGCTGACTGTGTATATGTGATGCTCCCACTGAATCAAAACCATTTGATGTACAATGATTGAGTCAAAATCTTAAATTGTAGGAACCTTGTTTTTTCGACTTGTTTTTTTTTTCGCCCGCTCGCATTACATTTGTAGTCTGCGGAGGATGTCATCCATAAAATTTAATTGCTGTGGTCTTAAGGTTTCTTTGTTACCTTCGTCAAGAAGGTTATGTTTTCAGTAGCGTTTGTTGGTTTGTTGGTTTGTTTGTGAACAGCATAACTCAAGAAGCTTGATATGGATTGTCATGAAACTTGGTAGGTGGGTAGGTCTTGACGAGACCTAGAAATGATTAGATTTTGGGCCCCCTGGCGGCTTTTGTTGGTACTGCAGCAGAACTTCCGGTTTTGATATCTCGCGATCTAGACGTACTAGGGTCACGAATTTTGGTTGGTAGATAGCTCTTGGGGTAGGGAAGAAGTGGCATGAGTTTGGGCCCCCTAGCAGCTTGTTCTGGAACTGCAGGAGCGTTTCTTGAGAAATCTCCGAAGGCTAGGTGCATAACTCAAGAACCGGTTGACGGATTGTCATGATTTTTGGTATGTAGGTAGCTGAAGTGATGCTCCACATAATCAGATGACAAATATGCAAATCAGGAGCTAATTTGCATAGTTAATGAGGAAATTCTATAAAACTGCTTCGTTCGATAATAGGACTATGAAACACGTGTGACATGTAATTGAGAACGAGAAAAACATCCGAGGATATAGATTATGTAAATGAAGACCTAATTTGCATAATTAATGGGAAATTTTTATAATTTCGTAGTTGTAATTGCTGGGAATTCTATACTTGCCGTATTGTAAGTTAAGTGAAGGTGAACATCAATGAAGATAATTTATTAACATCATGACCTCATTTGCATAATTTATGAAGAAGTGCTAGAATAGCCTATTTTGTTAAGATAAGGCTATCATTCGGGGGAGAATATGATCCATATGATGTAATCTATTCAAATGACTGTTATTTGCGAAATCGATGATCAAAATTGTATAATTCGTAAACCGTCAATTTGTTAACATCATTTGGCGAAGGTATGAGATCGTGGAACTCTTGTTTCTGTATGAAACAGAAGATTATTCCATCAAATTCATCGACATGTATGGCCTACATGAAGAAGCTAAATTTTCTTGTAGAAATTAGATGAAAGAAGAAAGTAAGTGATGTGTATTTTGTGTAGAAGTTTGTATGTATGTGCTTGTGTGTGCTTATTATTATGGAGTGAGCCGTCTATGCTGTACTGTGTATTTACTAATTAGCAGTATCTTACTATATATGTTATCCCAATATGTGGATAGTGACATGTAAAATTGTATTGGTGATATACCATCACCTGCTTACGTTTCAATGCCTGTCAGACACCTTCCTCAGAGCTTCTGACTGGAGTTCTGCTTCTCGCCGCTAGATGTAGCCAATGTACAAATGTAGGTGGCGCTTTTGCGACGAGAACGCAATCGCAAACGTGGCTAAGTTTGTATCCCCCCTTTGCGTTTTCACCACGAATAGCGGCGAGAAGCAGTACTCCATTCAGAAGCTCTGATGAAAATGTCTGATAGACATTGTAACATAAGGAGTTGAGAGACTTTTAAATTACTGATTGTGTAAAAGAAAACTCCAATATCCTATGTTCTACATGTAGCAACCTGATGAAATTATTTTCAGATTTGTTTGTGATGTATCTATTTATTCCTAAGAATAAATAAGGGATATGTGATGTAGCACTGCCTTTTTTTATAAGATTGCCGATCTCGAATTTGGCACGTAATAATTCCAAATTACACATAACGTTAGAACATTGACAACGTATTTTTGCTGTAAATTTAAGTTTTTATTTCATGTACAGAAAATATCCAAATAAATATTGTTGCCATAGAAAGTTTGTTTTTTTCTTCTTAACATTACGTCACACCAAATTCGTGTAAAGTGCCCTTTCACAAGGGCACAAGATATATGGCAGGATTCGAACTCGGGACCTCTTGGTTCTGAGCCGAACATACATAGAAACCGTCCAGATGAACTACTTAGTGAAGTTCGGAAGCTATCAGGATTAGAGTAGTTTAGTTAGTCTAGCTTAGACTTGGACTAAAGTTTTTATTTTGAGCAGATGTTGAACAGTAACAGTCGTAAACCACGTACGTCTCGCACGCCAAATGTTTATTATAAACATCGGTAGAACCAGGGACGTCCCTAAAAACATCTTCTGACAATGGAAGAATCGAAATTACTATTCCCTTTCCTTGACATGATATTCTATTTATCGTACCTTTTATTTCATCGTTACGTCTGTCCTCGTATATAAAAATGTATGTTGATTCTTCATTATCATCATCTTGTACTGAAATTTCATTCCATAGCCTTATTTTTTGTGCGCCTATTTCGTTTGGTTTGCTTTGACTTTTTTTCCTTAGTCCATTTTCTGTATCCCGGTCCTACAGAAATATAAAGGTTGGCGTCTGGTGTGAGAAGAGGTCCACTGTACTCCTCTGTGTCCTTTCTTTTGATTGGTTGATGTCACCGATGACGTCACGCTCCTCCTGAAACAAACGTACCCACTTTTGTGACGGTGTAAACGACAATAGATATCCTATATATTTACGGGTTTGTAAAGAAAGCGTACAGACATAAAATATGTTTACGTCGTATTTACTTTAAGCACAATGAAAGGTGACTAAAAGGAGGAATTTGCCTTTCAGCAGCCTTTACGAAGTCGTGAAGTCTACTTAAATATTCTCTCACCTTTAATACGTCTTTACATATTGCGGAAAGTTTGCTTAAACGTCTGTTTTCGTTCTGTGTTAATGTCAGCAAAAGTAATCTTAAATATTTTATAGAAGCGACTTTCTTATATCTGATGCCTGAATGTAAAAATCGAGTTTGCGTTACCACAAACCTTGCAAGTTTAACGAGTCAAAATTGGTTATCATTACGTAGCAGTAACTTTGCTGACGTCGACAATACCTGTGTAATCGTAATCCGCCTCCTCCATGTCGGCTCTGGTGACTCTTCTGACCTCCGCACTTTCCAACACGTCATCGTCAAAACTTTGGGCAAAAATACAGGGAGATATTAAAAAAATGTATATATCGCGATGTTTGGATTTATTTAGTATTAGCTGTACATGATTTATAAAAGTGAAGATTATTACAACATTCAGGACGTTGGATGGTGGGTTAGTAATTACCTAGAATTCTATACAACCATTTCTATGAAGCATTTACCAAAAGCCATATCCACGGTACACAAATCAGTCTATTTTTATGCCGTCACCAAACGCACGGACAACAGATATACTTATTTTCACCTGTTTGATCAAAATGAGAAAATTCAATACTCATTTACACCTGAGCGAAGCGAGGAAAGTCGTGTAAAGTGCCTTTCCTAAGAGCACAAGATCGGTGGCACTCGGGACTCGGGACCTCTTGGCTCCGAGCCGAACGCTCTGTCCCTATGTCGATTTAGGGTTTGTGGAAAAAGTGGACCGGTCCGGACTAGTAAGGCCTACGGGTTAGACACAAACGTTGTTGCACAACTCACACGTCATCCTGTCCCGGCATGGTCTCGTCTGCCACCAACATCTCATACTCCTCCGCGGCGTACCGCTCCCAGTCAGACATACCCTCCATATCCTCAGCCTCCTGACAGAGAATGAACAAATGTTAGGCCACAGCAAGTAAATTTTATGGATGACATCCTCCTCAGACTCCAAATCTAATGTGGTAGGGCGAAAACAAAAAACAAAGCAGGCCAACAAAACAAGATTCCTACATTTTCAACTTTTGAGATCATAACCCCCTTTTTAAACAAGAATTGAGGCGACAAAACAAGACAACACAACCAACAGGTCGTGATGAAATATCTTAGACTGTCAACACTTTCCATCAAACGACAGCAATTGTGCCTTAAGTTTGCTGGACCGCCGACGGTCTCTAACCGATAGGTTTCTACATGTACATTTTGTCTTTTTTCGCCAAGTTATCTACCATCAGAGACGAACAAAATTACTTTTTTTTTCAAAATCAGGCGAAAATCAATGCGCGCGTGAATGTCATCCATAAAAATTAATTGCTGTGGCCTTATATCGAAAAGAGTAGGGCTCCATCTTGATGAAACCATTCCGGCATAAAATGGGGCAGGGAATTTCCATACCAGTCTTTGTAACCCCTACTTCTCCTGTTCGGTCAGTTAGTCATCATTTCTAAGTGATGTATTTCAGCCGGTCTTAATAAATTATGTTTCTGACATAGTGAGAAGAGATGCTGTTACAGTTCTATATAATATGTAAGCCGTAACCTTGGAGTGGCCTCCAGGCCTTGTTAGTAATGACCAATGTTTGTTTGTGTTATTGGGACTCCCATTAACCCTATCTAGACCGGGGGGGGGGGCTTAAAGTGCCCGCGGCAACTTTGATGTCACCTAGCGTCTGAACGGCTAAAGCTAGAACCGCCAAATTTGGCGACTTTTCCTAAAATATTGTTGGCAACAAATCTGTATCAGTGGAATGAGATTATGATTTTTCTTGTTGCCATGGCAACGGGTTTCTGACAGGCATTTTTTGCCAAATTTAATTATTTCCATTTAAACAACAGAATTTTATGGGTTTTATGTCAAGTTACACATTGTTTCTAACATTAATAACATCACATATAATTATATGTAAATTTTATCATTAAAAATGCATAATTTCTGCTAATTTGATGACGTCATTGGCCAAAATCCAAGATGGCGGACCATATCATTAGATCAGGTAAATGCAGCTTATTTTCCTTAAAATTTTATCAATACTCCCATTTTTTTTACAGAAAAGGTTCATATGAATGTCTTTAGTCTGTTTACAATGTATTTTAGGCTTCATCCTGAAAAAAAAACTATTTTTCAAAATTCAGAGATGGCGGATATGTAATATATGCATGACGTCATTTTATGACGTCACCGGTGTTGCTATGGGCAACATAAGACTTAGTACATCCTAATATTCTGTCATAAACACTTTTGGTAAAGTTATGTCGTATACTGTTTAGTTTTCAGGGAATAACCTATCAAGACGGTTTTGGCCAATAAAATCACATTAATGACGTCATAATGACGTCATATTACGTCACAACGACATAAAAATTGTACGTATGATAAATTTTCACTAGTACATCATCCTCTAAAAAATTTGGTGGTCCTACGATATACCGTTCTCGAGTTCTGAGGGGGGGGCCGAATGAGCCCCCCCCCCGTCCCACCAAGCCCAAAAAAGCCCGGTCTAGATAGGGTTAATGTTTTGACTCTATTCTTCATGAGGTCCATACAACACAACATATTCAAATAAAATATAAATAACAAAAACAATTGGAATATAGAAAATACAGAATAATATGATGAATTCAAAATTACTACAGGTCAGACGTCAACAAAAACACAAAATATTAACATACTCGAGTGTTGTATGTAGACAACAATAGTACCAACAAAATTAAAGGAAATTAGTAAAAACAAACGGAGGTTTTCTAACCTTTGCCGCAGCGAACGGATCTCTCTGCTCGTGGTCCAGGTATTTTTCCAGGTTGAAGAAAGTGTCGAAGAACAGCGGAGTCATTCTACTCTGTTTTAAGTCACGCAGAGTGATTTTTCCTGGAGCAAAATGGTCATGTCAACAGGCGTAAAATAACAATTTTTTATTCCAAAGCCGGGACCCGACCGGGCAGCTTTTAGGAATAAGTATCATAAAAAAGACAAAACAAAACATCTGGTACCACTTATCGACCCCTCCCCACATCTGCATGAAGTTTTGAGTCAATAATTGTACAAAATGGTTTGATTCAGTGTCTCATAATCGTAGGGGTGCGTCTGAAATATTACATTGAGCGGGAAAACAGCGACGGCAAAAATACACATTCGTGCATCAACACGGGCATGCCCGCAGACGGCGTATAAAGTTGCATGTCGATTACACCGCGTTCTAGCTGCGAACACGAAAAAAACGGTTACTCACAATACTCCGTCCGGAGGTCCTGACCCCTGACCACGGAGTAATAATCATTGGTACTATTTATTCCTGATATGAATTGTTTGATTTAGGTTCACCCAAATCCGGCCGGGCCCCGGTTTGGAAACGTTATATTAGCATAAAGGATAATGATTGTCAAGACAAAAAAAAAATACTCATGCGCACAGCTTGAGCAGATGATCCTAGAAACATTGGTCACCGACAGATACTTGATACAAAAACTGATGAGAAAAAAGAATTTTGCTTTACCTGGTATTGTTGGGTTGATCATGTCCAACATCTGACATAGACAGTCCTCAAACGGCATGGGTTCGATTCCCAGGGATACCATCTTATTGTACTGTTCTTCGTAGAAATACTCCAGTTCGTACATGGACAGCAGACCGTCCCCATCCAGGTCCATACACCTGAACCAGTACTCTATCCTGAAAAGAAGAAACTGCACGTTCAACAGCGACCCCTAGCTGTCAACTATCATGTCTGCAAGACTAATTGTGAAGTGTTGCATTTCAAACCCAGAACGTGTTCCATTCCAAAAGTTATTTTGGAATAACACATTTTGAAATGCATCAGCCTCCGCAGACTACAAATATAATGCGAGCGGGCGAAAAAAAAACAGGGAGGGCCGAAAAAAACAGGTTCCTACCTTTTAAAATTTGACTCAATCATTGTAAAATGGTTTTGATTCAGCGGGAACATCACATATACACAGCCAAAATTACATATATCACTGCATCAAAGTAAGAAACAAAACATAAAATCAGAGCCTTTTCTTGTCTCCTCTCTTTATATTTATCTGCCATCCACCTTCCGGCATGGCAACAGACATCTTTGCCCATTTTCGGCATGTTGATCACTGTCAGAAGGCAACAAAATTTCTTGTGTTTTTTTCCCAAAATCAGGCGAGAATTAATGCACGCGCTGATGTCATCCATAAAAATTACTTGCTGTGGCCTAAATACAAAATGCCAGTTTTTGGAGCGTCTTCCCGTGTCGCAACAATTAAGATACTCAAGAACTGCAATAATGATGACATACGCTGTGGGGTGCTTCTTGTCTTCTTCCGCCAGCAGAAACCAGACAAACTCCGTGTAGCTCATCTTTCCTTCACGAGAAACTGTGCTTCCTCTGAGGTCAGAAAAACAAACAAACAAACAGACAAACAAACAAACACTTGAGTCATGCAAAGGAACAATAACTCAAGCAACTGGATAGATTTTGGAACAGTATTTTAAAATCTATCCAGTTGCTAGTAGGAGTAACTGTTTCCTTGTATATCTCATATTATAATACCTTAATCGACGTAAAACGTAAGTTCTTTCAATCTTATGGCATAATGCAAACGTGACACTTCGTACAACGTTCTGCAGCTTTATCGATTTATTGACCTGTCAATCAATTAAACAATCAATCAATCAGCCAATCAAGTGCCGTACCTTGTGACCGCTCCAGAGAATATTCTTTCCGCCATCCGAGACGATATTGCTATAATTATCAACAAAAGAAACGAAGATCAATTTTTTCAAATCATCTAGGACTCAGTTTGGCTTTTAAATTCTAGCTAATATTATTGTATTTTTACTTCTCTTTGAGTAGCCAACTAGATATCATAAATCTAAAAATGCACTCCAAATTTGTATACCACAAAGTTGACAGAGTTTCAACACATGAAATATACCTATACGCATATAATATAATTAAATTGTCTGCCTGTTTGTTTGTTTGTTTGTCTGTTAATTTATTTACGTGTTTACCTACCATTATCGTTATGTATAGCAACACACGAACAATTCCAATATATACATATAAACATAATCAAATTCTCTGTTGGTTTGTTTGTTTGTTTGCCTGTATTTATTTACGTGTTTAATAACCACCATCGTTATACATGTATATAGCAATACACGAACAATTCCCATACACATATTATATAATCAAATTGTCTGCCTGTTGTTTGTTTCTTTGTTTTTATTGACATGTTTACTCGAAAATATCGTTATGTAAAGCAACACACGAACAAGTCTATATACACATATAAATATAAGCAAATTGTCTGTTTGTCTGTTTTCATTTACGTGTTTACTAAACGCCATCGTTACATATAATATTATAGCAATAAAGAACATTTTCCATATACATATGATATAATCAAATTGTCTACCTATTTATTTGTTTGTTTGTTTGTTTGTTTGTTTGATTATATTGACGTGTTTACTCACCACCATCGTTATGTCTAGCCAGGTCCTGCTGGCTTATAAACAAATCGTGGTCGGTGTCCAACTCCCAGAACTTACAGTAGATGACGTAGAAATGTTCGTAAGAGAAGAAGTCCGTGATCTGGTTGATGTCATCTTCCTCTTCTAAAGACGAAATCACCTGTCGGAAATATCAGAAATGATTTAGAATCGTTTTGATCACTTATAGCCATTATCATCATCATCATCATGCCTCCAGATTATAGATCCGGTGAGGTACACTTGATAAAGTTACTCCAGTATGTCCTATCCCTCATAGCGGACTCTAATGCAGGCCCTGCGAGACCAGTGTCTCTCTCTAACATGGACAAAAGTGTAGTATAAGGACGTCCCACTCTACAGTAGGAAGCCACTGTACTAGTCTACCAGCTGGTTCATTACTACGAACAACATGCCCTGTCAAGGCGAGTCTACTTGTATCCATATGTCACTTAAACATATCTTGTTATAGGTGACGGCTCAGGACCAAGAGGTCCCGGGTTCGAATCCCATGTCCCACCGATTTTGTGCCCTTGGGAAAGGCACTTTACACGACTTTCCTCACTTCACTCAGGTGTAAATGATTACCTAGCTTCGGTTAGGGACGTCCCTAGGATGGGACGTAAATGGTGGCCCCGTGTTTGGAGAGAGCCACACCCCATGCACGTTAAAGAACCCACGAAAAGAGTAAAGAACCTTCTCGGTGTGAGTGGTTCAAACCTTACAGTCCTGTCTTACGCAGCTTGTACATGAACGCACTAAAGGCGTGTGTTACGCCTAAAGGCGGTTTACCGGTTATGCGAAACAAACAAACAAATATATTTAATACATATCATGCAATTGTAATATATATAGGGTAACTTACTCCGGTATCACAGCATTAACAGCAGAAAGTGATTTTATTTTTTGTAAAGATATTGGAACAGTATATTGTATGATCATTGGGAAATACCAAATTGACGTAACGGTACTTTACTCCGATATTATTACATCATGCATGTTCCATAACATGATTACACAGTGCACAAACCTGTGACCTCATACCACATCCTTCTACCCAGGACATACTGGGTCACAACCCTGTCAATCAACTGAATCCAAATCTCCGGAACGCCTACTGACTTCCAATCATTGCAGTTGAGGCACATGCAAACTCCCCTAAACTCCTCTAAACCATCGCCGCCCAAATGTAAAGATGTCGTCATTTGCAATGGTCTACAGTAATGACGTCACAGTGTTATAGCCAATCAGAGGTCTACAGTAATGACTTCACAGTGTTCTAGCCAATCAGAGAAGGTTCGCACAGTTATTAGGCTGCCAATAGTAATCTTGTTTACACACGAAGAAGTAAGTTAGCTGACCTGTAATAGGTTGGACTTGCGGAGCTCGGGGATGGTGATTTGACCTGACCAGGACCTGTTGACGGTGTAGAATATCCGGGCGATGACCTGACAGGGAGAGAGAGAGAGAGGAAAGTCAGCGTGGACGAAACTAAGGCCACAGCAAGTAATTTTTATGGATGACATCAGCGCGCGTATTAATTTTCGCCTGATTTTGAAAAAAAAAAACAATTTGTTGCCTTCTGACATGCACAGTGGTCAATATGCCGAAAATAGGCAAAGATGTCTGTTGCCATGCTGCAAGATGGCAGATACCTATAAAGAGAGGAGACAAGAAAAGGCTCTGATTTAATGTTTTGTTTCTTACTTTGATGCAGTGACATGTGATGCTGGCTGTGTATATGTGATGTTCCCACTGAATCAAAACCATTTGTACAATGATTGAGTCAAAATTTTGAATTGTAGGAATCTTGTATTTTCGGCCCGCCTTGTTTTTTTCGCCCACTCGCATTAGATTTGGAGTCTGCGGAGGATGTAATCCATAAAATCTACATGATGTGGCCTAAATGAGAATAGCAAGATGGAGAGACTGATAGAGACAGGTAATGGCGATAATCGGTGTTCAAAAATGCTACATGTATACATTTGTTCAATGGAAAGTGGAATGAAGGTTACGATAGCGATAGCTATGGGCATGGTTGGATTAATGCTATAGGGCCACATTTCCAAGCTGGGACTTAGTCGAGCTGTTTGAATAAATTAAAAATAAAAAAAAACATGTATTTTGTAAATGTACACATACATATTGCACTTTCGATAATATTCTTAATCGCTCGTCTGTTATCCTCTATATTATACTTTTCGTTCCCGTAAACTGCCCGACCGGGCACCGTCTTGGGTATGAGCCATTTTTATGTTACAGTCACGTTTCCAAGCCGATATCCTGTCGGGTAGCTTATGTGGTGCTAAGTGAAAAAAAAAAAAACAGCCCGTAAACTAACCGCCCGGGCATCGGTTTGGACTGTATTATGACTGCATACTCTCAACTTCGAATTCAGAGCCCGTCCAGTGCCTTCTTGATATCTTGAAAAAGTTACCTGACATGATGAGGGACGGAATAGACGGAATATAAAAGGAATATTGATTGTGTCATGACGTTGTGGATGTTAATTATGCACATATTAATGAGGGGGCGTGTCTGACATGACTTACTGTGTGCAGGTACCTGGAGTGGAATTCCTGAGCCTCCTGTAAGAACGTGAGTCCCGGATGGGTGTCTATAACATCCTGGAATACGAACAGCACAGTCATGAAACAACTCATTTGAATTTAGAATTCCGGGAAGTATTTTGTAATCTGGTTGTCATCCTATTTGTATATCAGAGCGCCCATATTCGCTCCATATTTTTACAAAATGTAGGCTCCATTCCCGCTAGGGTAAAATTGAGCCGGCTTAGAGCTGGATCGAGCCGGTTCTAAACCGAATCAAATCGGTTAGATCTGGACAATTTTACCCTAGCGGGAATCGGGCCTTAGGGAGCGAATATGGGCGCTACGGTATACGAAATTTAAATAGGATGGCACCAATGCAGGCTACATATTTTGGGTATCCGTGAATTGCATTGCATGGTCCTTTAGAAATACCCGATTGAATTACATCATAGAATGGGTTACACCATGGTGATGTTCATACCATGATTCCGCATTACGCATTCCTAGTGACCTCATTCCGCATTCTATCAATAAAGACATACCGGGTCACAACCCTGTCAATCAATTGAAACCCACCATGCATTAGGACAGAGACACAAACCCACAAATCAGCCACCCAAAGCAACACTTCCGTACCAAGAAGTAATTATCGATGTCATCACTACCTCTATTTGACAACCACATGTATTCTTATTTACCTGTGATTGTCAACGTTTCCATGGAAAACTGTAACCATGCTCTATCATGAATGTTTATCTGTGTTGGTAGTTACATGACTTGTTGAAATTTAAAACTTTTGGTCCACTAGACACAGTAAGAATACTGGACACCGAACAAGACTACTTCCTGAAAGGGGTGAAAGGGGCTTTTATATCAGGGTCCATCGCCCTTCACACAACCGCGACGGGGGCCGTCATCGTCTACAAGATACCTTTGACCTAGTGTTGACATCACACTTCAAAGAAGCCACGTGACAAACCTCACTGGGTCAGTCTACTGAGGAAGACCAGAGTAACTGCTCGAAAGCTCTAGGTGAGAGAATTTCTTTGTATTCGGCAAAAAGTTTAAACTTTAAGCTGTAACCATGGTTACCTGTATGAGTGGCACGAAGTCATCTGCTGTCAGGTAGCTTCTCTTCATCCGGGTCATGATGGCCATGAAACGTGAGTAGTCGTCGTGGTACTTTTGGATTATCCTTAATGAGGAGGACAATAATACAATAACAATCGACTAGTCCACAGTCCATTCTTGGTATTGTCATCTTGTTTTTAAAACTAGACCATAGTTAACAATAATTACCTATTAACTAAAAGCTGAAATTCTTTCTCGTGATTACGACGTAATACCACAACCTTGGGTTTTTCAAGTTAGTGTCTTTAAGTTCTGTCTTCTTTGCAATCACATTTTAATTAAAAGAAAATAACTGTCACATACATACATGTATACCTTAACAATCCAGAGGTTTGGGTACATTGGCTGACATATATACATACATAGCAGTTACAGAATATATTTTAGTATAAAGCTTTGTAATTACTATCTCACCTTTTCCACATGGGTTGGAAGGAAGCGGAAGTGACGCAGCCCAGCTTGTCTCCCCCTGCCGCCAGGAATAATGGACCCTTCCAGTACAGAGGACAACTACACACCTGCAAACGAGGATACATACACATCTTATTCACCAATTTCACACTTCCCATAATGCCTAATAAAGATCACGCATATGACGTATGACCACCTTTTCCCCCTTCCTCGATGTAATATTTACAACAAGTTCTATCGACAAACCGGTCAACAATATTGTTTTGAATTATAATGCATTAATTCATTTTATGATTGCATTTTTGTTGGAATTAGAGAAAATAACGTACCTTCTATCGCTCTACCTTCTACCGAAGACTCTCCTACTCGCACGGTCGCATTACGTATATCCCCTTCTTACGTCATATCCCATCCATATCCGTGATCTTTACTAGGCATTATGGGTAGTGTGAAATTCATGAATACCACACAGCATATTCGAAAAGGATGATAAAAGAAAATAAGACCGTCATCGAAACTTTGGCTCACTGTAGTAGCAAGATATTGGACATTGTAAAGCAGCGGGCATTTCAAAAACTATGCAAAAACTTACCAAAACTACCAATTTATCAAGATATTAATTTAGATAATTCGTTTTCAAAATAAACTATTCACTGTTGTATTAGCTGTTGAGCTGTTGTAAAATCTACACTCTACACTAGTGGTCAATTTTACATCTCCCTTGGGAATAAGCCACCAGTTCAAAATCAAACACATGGTTGTGAATACAAGAACTTTACTATTCAATCACTCACCAACCTGATGGATTTTTTCACGGAGAATGTGAATTGTACATGAGCACTTAAGATTAGTTTTCTTGTCTAAGCTCTATCCAAACAAAATCTATTATATATTTTACACCGTAATGACATATCAATTAGTTGAAGAGAACCTTCTCTCAACCGAGACGGGGGTTGGTACCGACTTCCGACGAACTTTGACCCATTGCTGACGTCACACTTGGGTAAATAAAGTGTCTACATGTGTATAGCACTTGGGCCAGATAGCTGATGAAGACTCGGTCCAAAAATTTCTTTGAGTCAAATTTCTTTGAGATGGTAAACTATTAATTTTTCACAATATTGATATTAGTCGCTACGGTCTTTTGTATCCACCTTTGCTACTTCTCCGAAGTCATTTTTGTACGCTTTTCCCTCCTTCATCGTCCCGAAGACCTCGGACACTTTCTTCAATTCTTTGCCGTCATCCGACACTGGCTGGCCGAGGGGGAAGTAGAACCTCGGGATGGAGGCGCCCGAGGGCGCGGGGTTGGGCGGGTCTGACTTCGGGGACGGTGTGGCAGACGTGGTCGGTTTGACCTCGGTCACCACCTTGGGTTGGGGCGACAGCTGATCCGCTACCTTAGGCTGGGGTGAAAGCTGAGGCTGTGAAGGGGTATAACAAAACTCTTGAATACAAGAAACCGGAGATACATGTAGGTAGAACTTCATAGGATATTGGAGGTTTTTTTCCCAACCTGGAAAAACCGTTACCTGTTTAAGTTTTTAAAACTATCAGACATCTTACTCAGAGCTTCTATACATGTATGCAGCCGATGTAGGTGGCGCTTTTGTGGCGAGAACACAATACCAAACAAAAGTCATGTTCTCCTCTTTCCGGTTCATCACTGTTATCTTTCCTATCTAGACAGGTACATCTAGCGGCAAGAAGCAAATTTTGTTGCCTTCTAACAGTGGTCAACATGCCGAAAATGGGCAAAGATGTCTATTGCCATGCCAGAAGGTGGAGGGCAGATAAACTATGAAGAGATGAGACAAGAAAAGGCTCTGATTTAGTGTTTTGTTTCTTACTTTGATGCAGTAATATGTGGTGCTGGCTGTGTATATGCGATGTTCCCACTGAATCAAAACCATTTGTACAATGATAGAGTCAAAATTTTAAAATGTCGGAACCTTTTTTTTCGGCCCGCCTTGTTTTTTTTTTCGCCCCCTCGCATTAGATTTGGAGTCTGCGAAGGATGTCATCCATAAAATTTACATGCTGTGGCCTAAAGAAGAGTAAAGACAGCTCGACATTCGACGTCATGATCTATGAAGAATGGTAGACCCAAAGGGAGGCCACGTGATCCATTAGCCCGTGTTGTTGTTTCTCGGCGAGGTTTTGTTTATTTTGATTGGCGCTAATGTAGGATTTTGGTCATGATAAATAAGGTGTGACCACATGTAGCACAGGTGTACAAGCAATTTTTGATGTAACATATACAGGAGGCTGCAAATCATTGTCTATGGGAGTGTCTGACTTGGCGTTTTGTAGAGGTTGAGATACAGAGCTTCAGTCTTTCGCGTTGATAAGTTTTGATAATATTGTTTCTATTTGCAATCGTCCGTAAAATGTGACTCAAGCGAAGAGTCAAAGCCTTCTCTCTCTCTCTCTCCCTCTCAAACACACACTTTTTCTTTTTC